CAGCGGTTCGATTCCCGCTGAGGGTGTTGATAAGACCAATGCGAGGTCGAAACTATAGTCCACACTGGATGAGAACAACTTTTAGGAAAGCAAGGCTATGTGAAATTCAATGGAAAACGTCAGCTCAACTCATATCATTGTGGGAAAATTCGACTACCAGTCCTTCATCACCTTAGACGAAATACGGTGAATACATCTCATTACACTGATTTACTGGTAGTCTCGAAACCCTACTCTTATACGAATATTTCTACAATATTCCTAAAAATAAATCAGTTATAAACTTGTTAAATAAAAAACCTGATTGCATTTAAATAAGAATTTGAATTTGTGGACAAGTAACTGAACATGCAGTTCACTTTCGAGTAATTCATGAACAATGTATTGTTAAGAAAAAAAGCAATTATCGTAGATTGCGTCAGGTTTGCTAAAATTCTCCTACAATTCCTAAAATCATCAAACATTCTTGATTTAACAAAAGGCATAATCTGCCCGAAATGAAAGTCTCCACAAAAGTCGCTTCATCACAGACTTGAAGGCGATTTGTGATTGTATGTTTTTTGTGTAAGAGAGAGAGAGAGAGATAGAGGGTGGGAGGGGTCGTAGGACGTACCCAATTCGTCGGGATCGTAGATGCCGGTGGCGAGGAGGTCGTGTCGAGTGCGGAGCGGCGAGGACTGCAAGTGGTGTCCGAGGTAGGCCGAGGGGGCGTAGGCGCCGGGTGACGGCTGGCCCATGACGTGGTGGAGGCCGGGCGAGTGGAAGTATGAGTGTGCGGCCAACAGGCTCTGCTGCATGTGGTCCGAGGGGAGGCTGTGGAATTGGCAGACCATCGCGGCGGCCGGAGGTCGGCCGGCCGCGAAGTCCTCGTGCCCAGTGTCGGTGTGTGGCTGCAGGCGATCGGCCATCGTCGCGGACAGACATGCGCCGGCCAGGCCGCCCGTCGGCGCGTCGCCCTTTTGGCCGAGCGGCGGCGGTGGTGGCGGCGGCTGTTGCTGCTGCTGTTGGTGGTGATGCTGATGATGCCGCTCGTGGAGACGGTGGTAGTGGTTGGCGACGTCTGGTGGCAGGTGGTGATTGGGTTGTGGATAGACGGACGAGTGTTGCGGCGGCGGCGTGAGGTGTGATTGGCCGAGTTGAGAATAGAAGTGGTGCAGAGTGTCGTGAGGCGACGGAGGCGGGCAGTTGTCGGAGGGCGGCAGCGGTGGGTGGGGTGGGAGGCAGGCGGTCGCTGCGGCGTGTGGCTGGCCGGACATGCAGGCCGAGGCGGAGAGGGCAGGCCATGCGGGGGCGGGCGGGG